GCTGGCGTGCGTGGCATGCCAGTAGCGCTCTATAACCAGCAGCTGCACGCTCATCAGACCCATTACGTCGATTGCTGTCGTTGTGTCACTCTCTCTCTATTTCGCTCTCTCTGTCTCGTTCTCACGCTGTTAGAACACGGTATGAAATGGCTAATTTCTCTCATAACATTAGCATTAGCTTGACAGTGTAGGTAAGCGTGAGTTGACATTGTGTTTGCCAACGAATGACAGTAAAGTTGCAAGAATCATCCTGCAGATATTCATTCGTCACCCCGACAGCAGTTTTTAATCCCCCCATTTTGGGAATTGCCGCCATAGCCTCTTCTTGTTCCTCAGTTAGGATTCGCCCAAATTGGTGCACGCAACTGCGTAGGGACGTGATGTGACGCTAATCCTGACGTGTTATCTCAGCGCATCGGTGGTGTGAAGTCATGTGGACTGGTATGAGTCTGCTGCTCTGATGTGAACATCTCTGCTGGGAACCTCGGGCCGGTGGGTCGCACTGAGGCCTGTCGCCCCATCGTACGACTCACAATTGTAACATTCAGAATCAGGAAATCTCATTGATTAGGAGATGACGACATATCTGATGCACCAGAAGCCATGCGGTTGCCATACGAGCCCGGAAAGTAACTCCCTGGACCCGGTCGTCTTAAAAACCAAGAAGCAGAAGGAAGGGAGTTTTAGTTCCTTTCAGAGTAGTGTTTTGTGACTGGTTTGTCCTCCAGTGATGCTCCTTCTTGCTCCACATGATGAATAATGTACGTCAGTTTACAGTGCTTCCGAGAATAGCTCTGGAAATAAGTCAAGAGAGCAGAGGCACTCTCTGAAATGTCAAGTCCAGTCCAAACCGGAGTCGCCGTCAAACCAGCTCGTCTCTCCCAGGTTCGTCAAGCCGTCAAAGCCGAAGCGGCAGAGGGCCACATGAGCAAAGCGCAGCTGGAGTAGTTACAGGCAGTGGCCTTGGAGTGCCCTTTGAAAGCAACCAGCTCTCCGCTCACCTCCCCGACCACTCGTGTCATGAATAATTCCGCCTGTTCTCATGGTTGGAGAACCGGCGAGGATTAAAAGAGCATCTTACAAAGAAATATGCACTTCAACATTTAAGTGTTACTTTGAAGAGACGCTCGAGCTTATGCATCATAGCATCGTCCCTACTAGCTTCATGGCTAGTATAATACTGTACGTAAAACGGGGAATGCCAATTTGACCAACGCGTGCAATTCAGCATCGCTTGGTTGATAGTTGTTTTTGCTTTTTCTTTGCCGCTCGCTAAATACGATAATAACACTAATTCAAATTTGTAAAGTATAATACGGGCGTTCGTCAGTTTCCGTTCTTACAGCAGGAATTTTCTATGGCATGCGATAAAGGGCCAGTACATTGTGGCGTTCTGATCAATGTTGTATAAGTTTCAATTTATTTGCGCGGGGTGATGCTGTGGCCTGTTTGGTCAAGATAAAACTCGCGTTATTGTGTTGTGTTCTCCGGAAAACAAAAAACACAAAGCCAGACGCCACTTACATTTATGTCCTATGCCAATCGCAAGCTCCCAGCAACCGGCAGTCAGCCACTGAAAACACACTGGCCAATTTGAAGCCTCATTTCAGTTTGCATCTAAAGACAAATGCAACAGTGCAAATTGTTTCGTTCCGACTAACAAGACATCAAAAATGCAGTTGCCCAGCTCCTGTCGTCTTTATCTTCTCCTACTTGTCCGCAAGTGGATGGTCATGTGAACTTTTGCTCTTCCCAAATCGAGGTCACACCGATGTTCCTCTTTCCGAGGATTAACACAGCAAACGGCAAACGGGACATGCGGGGAAAATCCTGTCAGTGCGTCATCTGTCAAAGCTGACATTTTTTTTTTTTTGCTGCTGGCTAACCTTGGCCACAGTAAGAGAGATTGAATGTGCCACATTGCCTTACTCATAAACTTAACTATAAGCTTGACTGGTGAAAAATCACGCTGATACTCAAGCAGCTGTCATAAGGCGTCAGACAATTGCAGGGAAATAGCCACAGTTTTCTTTTATTTTCTCTTTAATTTTTTTTTTTTTTGGGGGGGTGACATTTAACAAGAATTAGTTTGTAATTGTACTCGACAAAATTCACAAGAACATTTTAAATGTGAGACTGATTGAAATTGAAACGAGTCAAATATTCTGAAGAAAAAAAGTCATTTCCAAATTAAAAGAATCAGACTTTACAAGAAAAAGGCATAATCTCCGCCCCCAAAAAATCTTAATGTAGTGAGAACATGCCACTCACCCTAACCCTAAAAAAAGTTGTATTACTGACAAACGTAATGCCGTTTGCCAAGAAAACCGTTATCAAAAATATTGTGACGGAAAGCAGTTTTATGAGAAAAAAATATATTGTCCCAAAAATAGTCTGGATTATGAGGGGGGAAAAAAGTCATATTACTAGTGAGTAATGTCATAGCAGGAAAAAAATGCTATTAAGAGGAAAAAGTTGCAGTTATAAGGAATTATTTTTTTTTCTTCAATTTTTAATTTTCCATATTGTTCAAATCCCTTGTCAAAAAACTGTCAACCTTCATCTTCTTTATGTCTTCCTGATGACAAAACACAGCACTCTTTTTTTTTTTTTTTTTCCCCCTGACAAAAGGGAGGGAGGGCTTCTCACCGGGCTATCAATATTACATGATTAAGTTGAGGCTTTAATGTGAAATAATGGTCGCGAGAAGCAGGAGGCTTTCAAAGACACATGGTGCTTTTAGTTCAGAAAAACCACCAGAAGCAAGTATGTTATTTTTATAAATGTAACGTATCTGTGTGGCGATGTGACCGTGCACCACAAACAGTGTAGGATAGAGGGATGGATGGATAAATACTTTATTCATCCCGTGAGCAAACTTCAGGGTATCATCCAAACGCACTGATCCCTTGAAAGAAAATGCGACAGTCGTCTGTATCCAGTATTTTCTCCATCATCACCATTAGACGCTTCGTTCACTTGTGGAGCTTCACACAGAGGCCAGTGTAAACAAATCTGTTGATGCCCCACAGCGTTGCCCCTCGTTTCTTTGCCGTCTGACGAGCTCGTATCGAGTCCGTTGAGCACGCCGTGCTCTGCGTTTGACAGAAGAAACATTTATTAGTTGTCTGATGTGTTGTACGTGTAACCGTACGTACAGATGTTTGTCGTACGGCGCTGGATGTTGTAACACGCTGGATGGCTGCTTCATGCCCCCATGTTGCCCTTATTACACAGGTGCGTGAACTTTGGTGTTTAATGTCAATTTATTTATTTTTTGCCCCCATCCTATCGCCGTCAATAGCATTGCTGTCGAAAAGGTACTTTACTGGTTACTGTGACATTTTTGGCTTGGTGGAGTGCCATGAGATTTTTTTTCCCAATGTCAAATACATTCCTTGGCTCAGTGAAGGTTGGGCAACACTTGTGTGATACATGGTGCTGGAACCCCAACGCAGTGTTACGATGGCCGTCAGTGACCATAATTCTCTTCAGCACTCGGCAAGCTTCCAGGCTGTGTCACTGCCACTGACCGGACTCGCTGTTTCCTTCGGCGGTTTCTATCGTATCTTCTCCGCCAGGCCATTTGTCCTAGCCTAAGAGGAAACGACATCACTTTGCCACAACTCGCATCCTCGCGTGTCACGTCCGCGGGACGCTTGACAGTGCAAGAAGAGAGGGTGGTTAGTTCGGGATGCGACCGGGTCAGACGGAGTTAAGCAAACAATGAAAGCAGAATGGGATGGGCCCGGGCTTTAGCTGTCTGGCCGCGCCTTGGCGTACGAGCCGGGCCGCTGGCATCAACGTTTTTTTTTTTTTTTTAGTCTCGCATTGGGAGTTATCAGAGCATGCAGGCACAAACGCAGTCACGGGCTCGTCGTCGTAGTAACGACATCTCTCTTGGGGGGCTGCTAAGGGTCCGGGAGCTATCCTGAATCATCACTTGTACCGACGCCCCCGCCAACCCCAAGGGATTCCAAGGCTTGTTGTCTTTTGTGGTGGATAATGGAGCCATTAGAGATGCACTTATGGTCCAGCATGTGACCAGGATCTGAGTGCATCAGAGCATTTGGCCATGGCCTACCTCCAGCACTTTGACTGGTTAAAAGACACTGGGCATTTGTTACTAGGTAAGAACAGCAACTCGACTGTGTCATTTGGTGGGATTTACGCTGGATGGGGCACACTGCAGTTTACAACAGGCTTAAGGTGGCAGCAATGGTAACCCAAATGTGTATGCCGATGCAGTTTCCCCAATAAACACAATTAGATGTGTGGTGAGTGAGTCAATTGTGTTTACCGGCGAGGTGGTCATCCAGAATTATAAATAATTGTTCATTTTCCTGAATGGTCGGTCTATTCCCGGGCCAGTTCTGGCCATCACGGCCACGAGCAGCCCCGCCTCACACCGGCAACGTGAGGGCCGCACCCCGTCACGATGGGGTTTCAGTGCATGACAGCCAGTCGATGACAACTTTTCAGCACACGATGGCCATGACATTTTATTTTTGTTTACTTTTAAATGTGACAAACTCTACCCCAAAACATTTTTGAGATGTTTGCTGTGAATAGTTTCCGAATGCACTGTGCAAGGTGCATCAGGCTCCGGTCAAATTGTGTTGTGGCCGTTGGCTGTCTCAAAAATAAAAGGGTGGGGTGGGGTGGGGTGGGGGGAATGCCTGTGGAGACTGGAGAGGATGACAGATGGTTTGGAGACAAATCAGCCTGTGAATCAGTATCTTTGCCCTGGGACGACTCAGCCCTTTCACATTGTGTTTGTGTGCATTTTATTTCGAGAAGTGGAGCTGACCTGTGTTTCACTTCACCCGTCACTTTTGACTTTGTTCAGTTCAGACTTTAACATCTGCGATATATTACCTCTGCTCATTGCTGTGTGACATTGTTACTGTGTGGCGGTATAACGTTAAGTGTGTAACCTTACAGTCTACCTATAACACCTCAAGGGCAAGTGACGCGCAGGGAGGGGGCGGGGGTGGGGGGGTCTTTCCTCCCAATGGAGTTTCTTCCGCTAGGCCTCAACACTTGTACAGGTCATGCGTGGCCTCGGTGAGACGGCGTATGCGTTGTCGTTTCTCAGCGCTTGAACCTTGCAAGAGACAATTTAAGCCCCCGTAAGCCTTTAATAATCCCAAGATGAGGCCAACAAGGTCAGGAGTCTGCCCTCTTTGTCATGGCTACCCTCCCTGCAGGCCACCACCGTCAGAATTTGTTTCTGGTCTTCTTCAAATGTTACTAGGAAGCTATTTGCCATCATTTGACTATCCGGTGTGCAGAAGATTGTAGTGGCCTATATTCGCTTTTTTATTTTAAGAATATTTCACATTTTTTCTTTTTAGGAAAGTGCAACATCGGTAGCTGTCGTCTTTTTAGGAAATGACAGATGAAGACAAGTACCGTAATACCAGAATTTAACGCTTTAGTATGCGATACTGAATGCTCGGCGAAAACAATACACTTGTTTATTTGTATTTGGGAAATGGTTGCACTCGGCCCCCTCCGTCTTTATACGTTGTTTCCAGCCTCGTCATGTTTGGTCCGCAGGTCGGCAAATCTAATTACTTATCGGACTGATCCGCGTGTCAATATTCCAACTTGCGGCGGTCACCTTGTGCGGTGCTGGTGCTAAAAACGGAAACAAGGGTAGTGTGGTCTTGGAGTCGTGGTTGTAGATCTGGATGTCAGCCCAAATATATTCCATAAGATTGCGCAAAGTGGAAGGATGAACTTTGTGTTCCAGGCTGCTTATCTTGTAGAGGATGCTTTTGGAGAGATTTTACATTGTTTGATGACAAAAAAAACAAAAAACAAAACAAAACAATGCAGATTTTTGCCTGTTTTTGGCATCACTGATGTTGAACTTTGTTGAGGACTCAGCTCATCCAAGTAATCCTTTGCAAAAGTCCAGTAGTCCAGCATGTCTTGCTAAAATGAAGAATTAACACTCGGGGACGACTTTTTCATCCGACGCCTAATTTACTGTGAGTGCGCCCACACACGCCTCCGCACGACAGGATAATTGCTGAAGATCATCTTTACATATAACCGACAATGGGTCCTTTGGACTTTGATCGCAAGGGAGGGGAAATGCTCAAATTAGGCGTGCTAATTAGTACGTGTGTGTGTCGCTCAATTTATGTAAAACATAAAATGAGAATTTACACTTTGTAGAGTCCTCAATTTAAAATCTTGGCAGTGACATTCACTTGGCTCGTGTGATTGTGAGCTCGTTTAAGATTTGTTATTGTTGGTGCTGAACGTTTCCCAAGCAGGTCCTCCAACGATTGCCTTTTTCAGACTTGCGAGGCTGCCATTTTCTCGTGTCGCTGACCTGCGTGAAAATCACACACACAAAATGGGTTTGACGGAGTTGACCTGGAAATGTTGAAAGCTGTAACACAGGTGGGTAGGTACCACAAATGCTCGGTCTTCTATTGTGATGCACACAATTTTGCTGGATCTCTCTGAAGCAAAATGGGTCACTTTGCTTTCTGACATTTTTTTTTTTTCTCATCTGGTAAGGAGTAACTTGCCTGCACGTTTTAATGACAGTGAACAAATATTTTCAGGCTTTCCAGGTGGCGCTAGCGAGTAATATGTTGCGCGCCATTGCAGACTCAGATAAAGAAAAAACGGGGTGCTGTAAGTATGACTCTGGCAACAATGGCTCCTAGAAAGAGAAAAACAATGAGCTCCTTTCACAGCGAACGTCATGACATTTTGTCCCAGGGACACCACGCACTTCATGTGACTCTCATAGGGCACTCTCAGTCCCAATGGAAGCATTAAAATCCCAAGTTGGCATCATTTGTCTGACATTTCGTTCCACCACAGAGGGAGGAGTTCATTTTTTTTTCTTTTTTTTTTTCTCTGCTGTTTAAATTACATAACCAAACCGGACTTGTTATTTTCTGGCATGTTCAGACACTTGTGCTTGTTCCTGCCTCCTTTCTGTCTTGCAGCATTGTGAGGCTCGACTGTAGAATGCATGATAACGCATTTAATTTAGTTACCGTGTCACTAAGTGGTCCAAGCGAGGCATATTTTACAAAATGAATCATAATTGCAACTTAACATCGAAGCTAGCATCACACATTTGCAGAGCGAGTAGCTGTCAAGAGACATGAGACGATGCTGGAAACTGGCAGCAGGGGGATAGCATTCGCAAATCGAGCGACAGTCCGATGAAAAGTGACATCAGATCTAGCGACAAGTGATGTTATTTGTCCTCATTTTTCTTCAGGTTTGTCAGGGCTTTCCAGCATGTTCGGTAAGAAGAAGAAACGGCTGGAGATCTCGGCCCCGTCCAACTTCGAGCACCGGGTCCACACGGGCTTCGATCCGCGGGAGCAGAAGTTCACGGGGCTGCCGCAGCAATGGCAGAGCCTCCTGGCCGACACCGCCAACCGGCCTAAACCCATGGTGGACCCCTCCTACATCACCCCCATCCAGCTTGCACCCATGAAGGTAGGAGTGAGGGCGCATGGATCCAACCATACATGAACATTTCCTAAAGTTCTGAACCTGCTTATTCCTCCAGTTTGACTTTTTTTTCAGATTCATTCCTGTGATTCTAATCTTTATTTTTCTTTAAAGGATACATTTTCACTCGAGCATGTCTGCTTCACACCACTCCATCCGACACGTGTTCCTTTGTATTCTCCAATACCATCTGGCCAACTCGCACCATTACATCACTTTTAATATGCCATCTAACAGTCACATCCTAGTGCGCTGCGTTGAACCTGCATTTAGCTGCTTATGAGTCACTTTTAAATGCATAAACCCGTGAACGCGGTTTTGACGTTGAACATCCGAAGCTCACTCCTAACCTGTGGTGTTTTAAGTGATCCCCAATTGTAGCCCCTTTCATTAAGCTCATCTAAAAAGACCCCCCTCCCCCTCACTCACTCCGGTGGTGCGGTGCCTTAAAAATCATGAACAAAGCATCAGAGATCTGAGGAGCAGAGAATCAAAGAGGTAAAGAACAAATGCCGCTCACGGCTGATGCTTGTTGTTGTTGTTGTTGTAAAAATAGAGAAGACCTCCATTTTTGGGGGGAGTAAGTGACACTCAAACATGACTTAGGGAAATGTTGAGTCAACTGACTTAACCAGATGGCTGCAACAACATGACTCAGTGGCAAAAAAAGAACGAGGTAAATATGCTTAATGCAGGATTTAAATTTATAATTTGTTCAAACAAGAATTTTGTCCATTAACATCAATGCAAGTCTCCATTTTCTTTGTGTCTCCTCATCCCTGACCCTTCTGAGTGTCTCCTCTGTTGTGTTGTTGTTCATTGGCTTCCACACTGATACTCATAAAGACGTTTGAGTAAATTTGAACCGGCCCGAGCCCCCGACTTGTATTCTTGACACCCCCCCGATCTCCCACCTACACTGTCCGTCATTGATCCGATGTGGGGTGTGAATCATGTCTGCCTTAACCGTCACAATGAATGACTTACTCTCGTGCTGTTTGGAGCGCACACAGTTAGCATCGAAGCTTGTTAGCCACACAACTGAAATGGCCACAACTAAGAACAGCAATATGCCACAGGAAATATCTCTGAAGAGGGGGGAACAAGAAAGTAATTGTCTTGCTCTCTTCACAGATATCTCCCAAGAAGGTCCGGCTGTCCGAAACGCCCAAAGTATGACTCCCTCAACCCGTCTGTCCACACCCTCACCATTCTTCTCCCGCTCCCTTTGCACCACCCCCCCCCACCCCCTCCGCCACCACTGCCTTTTTTTTCTGCATCTCCTCGCCGCTGCCTGCTGCTACCATGCATCCAGGTGGGGGCGGGAAGTGGCAAAATGACTCCGCACATGACATAACTACATTGCTCTGCCAAGTCTTGTATTACACCGAGCGGCGAAGGGAGTTGCAAAAACGTTCGCTAGACATTCCCAAACAGTTTTAGTGGTGGCAAAGTTTTTCTTATCACCATCAAATTCTGAACGTATTCAACATTTCTTTGCGACAAGAGAAACTGCTTGAGACCATTTAAAACGGACGGCGGACGTCTTTGTGACCGTTTGCGACCTTGAATGAACATTTGAGCCGTGCGCACCCGCTTGCAAACCTTTGCCGCTCAGTGAGATACGGGCTTTCGAACTCATTTCCACTCTTCTGCATGAGTTCTAACACTTCCCAAAAACCCTCACTTGCCCTCCCCCCCAAGGAACCACTTGATGAGCTATAGCAGCATGTTCCCATGATCCTCCTCCTGATGTTGATTATGATCATGCTAATAATGAAAATAATGATCGGTGCAAAGTGCCTCTGGGAAAGATCATTCTGCTGTGTTGACATGGATTTCACCCACAGTGGGGGTGCTCTTGAATGTTACACCCGCGATGGAGATGTTGAATACTGTATTATAGCGTGCGTGCGTGTGAGAGCGCAGTGTCTAGTCGAGAAGTCGTCCTGGCCATTGCGCCGCAGCAACATCTTCTAGTGCCACTGCGCTTCCACTGGGTTGTCTCATGGTTTGTATGTGAGGCCTGTAGCCTACTTGTCAGCCTGCTCATCTCCACTGGAGCATTAGTATTGCTTCTGGCCTCCCCGCCGCCATCATCATCGCAAAGGCTAATCCACAAGTGTGGGTTAACACATCCCCACAGCAGCATGTCTTCGACATGGCCGTCTCAGTAACGGCACGTTGAGCTTTGAATTCTAGTGTCTGCGTGCGTGCGTGCGTGCGTGTGCGTGTCAACGCCTGTTGTAGTCATGAAAATCGTCTCATGTTGCACCTCGACTTTCACACCCTCCAAGGGGCTTATTTACAGTGATTAGGGCGTGTGTTTGCCTCCTTGTTCATTCACATGAATGTTAGCATGTGTGTTGATGTGAGCGCGTGTTGTCTCGTCCTTGCAGTTTGCTTAGGCTACCTCGGCCGCGGCTGCTTTCACAGTAGACGGAAGTGAGATGTGGAGAAAGTGAGCGGTTTGCTCTCGTAGCATTTGTGGTGATTTGATTGCAGAAAGTTCTTCGGTTTACAACGGTCTCGACAGTCTAATCACGGTTTTGCGGGAAGCCTCAGTCCCGATCCCCAGCAAATAGATCACCACCGTATGACAAAAATATTCGGAAGAAACATTCAGCAAAAATACCACAAAATGAAAGGAGCGCATGCATGAAGTTTCTGTGCTTCTTCAGTTGATGATTTTCAGGCTAATCCTTCTGTGTTTGTCATCCCTGGGTAGGAGGTGGATTCGCGCAGCAACATTCTTTGTCTGTGGTGGATGTGAAAAACATTGCTCTCGTTGCCACAGATTCAACTTGTACTTCGCAACAAGGCTGATAATCGTTTAGACAAGGAAACAAAAAAACGTTCAAACAAACCACTGCAGGAAATGAAAACCGCTAATAACTAATGGCTCACTGCTACTTCCGGTGTCGCACATGAAGTTGCGCCCATAATCTTTTTGACATCAAAGGCCCCAGGAATGAAGCGGATAGACAAACAACCATTCAAATTGAGCCGAGATTCATACCGCAAACCTCGGAACAGTGAAGGCAGACTTGCTAACCACAAGACAACCTTGCCCTTCATTGAAGAAAATCAAATCATTCCTTTTAGAGACATTAAATTGACAAAAATGAAACCATCGTTGCTCTGAGATCTTTTATGCACTTTTTGACATTTATTTTTTATTCTGTCTCCATGGAGCCACCCCGCCCACTACACACACACACACACACACACACACACACACACACACACACACACACACACACACACACACACACACACACACACACTCCGTAAACTGCATGCACTGTGGGGTAGTGTGGGAGTAGAAATCTCTGTGGGTATTTTCAGGAAGCTCAACATTAAGCCTTACATCATCCTGGAAGAGGTGGATTGTGAACAAACAGATGGCGCATGGAGAATTGTTTTGTAACACAACGTTGCCACTTTAACGCCCCAAAAAAATCTATATATAATAATATATCAGCTCATCGGGAGGTTTAATACCTTGGACATTCAGGAGGGGGCAGTAGGGCATCAATGTCAAAATGGCGGCACGTGATACCCGCTAAGTTGTAAATGTCAGCCCAATGCCCTGCTGCACCCACCGACGCTTTTAGAGGAAACCTGATCGTGACGCTGCTCAGAAGCTAGAGGGTCTCCAGCTGGGGGCCAACGGTATCAATCATGGCAGGGGGGCGAGGAGCCACTGAGGCCAGACAGACGAGGGGCTTTGAAGGACCTGCCGTTCGGCCGAAGTCCAGCCAGGTGGAGGGGACACTACAACAGGTGGGATTTCGGTTGAGACCAAACGTCAGGTTTTATTGCTTTTGAAAGTGAGATCTTTTTGGTGGAAGAGCTGATGCTGCTTGAGGTCACATATTTGACTGTGACCTTCTATTTTTGGTGGTTCTGTGCTCTTTAGAGATGTCTCCAATTACAGTATAGGCTACCATTTTACTTTATGTTGCACCTCAAAAGCAATGGGGTGTTTGTCAAGGAAGAAGTGGATGACCACAAAGACAGAAAACGCAAGTTAAGAATGAGTCTGGATACTTTGTTGGATTGTAATGGCCTTCTCCACTATATAGTAACCCTTTCATTCTTACGGCAAAGTAATAATGGCACTGACACACTCTTTCATCATCATCCTCATCATTGGCTGTGCCATTCAGTCAGTGAGCGCTACTGTTGCTGATCAATACGCCTTTAATTTCAAGTCCAATTGAACCAGGCCCAGTCGGAATTGATGCGGGATTAAGTTGGTGTTTGCAGGAATTCACTTGAAGCAGAATAGCCGCTGATGGAGAAAGAGAGTGAGAGGCTTTTGTCTTTCTAGGGCAGGGAGCTGGAGTGGATGCCATTGATCCATTCCCTCCTCACTGCTGTCATTCTGTTGATTGTTGGCTTCTACCAACCTTGCGTGCTTTGCCAGAATGGTTTTCAAAATGCCAGCGAATTTACCTTCACCGCCTTATTGAATGATTTATTTAGTTGCAGTTTTTGGAAGCATTTCCACACAGTAAATTAAAAGCAGACAACAATTTCTGCATCGAAATGGTACAGGTGTAACAGCCTTGCAGAATAGGAATTTGAAAATGAAAGCAATTAGCAAGTACAAGCCTATGTCATTCGTTCAACGCTCAAAATGCGGTCTTATGCCGCCCTCGTATGGCTGAACAGTGAACTACATTTTTTTTTTAACAGTGACAAGTCGGAATACAGTACTGTGCTTACTGCACTGTGCTTTATTACAGCAGTCCTAATTTATGTGTTTAAGTGAAAATAATTGAAATAAATGAAAGTAATGAAACAAGTATGAAAAAAAATTCAGAAAAGTACTTAAAATATTATTTTAGTTTGAACTGTACAAACCCCCCTGACTTTTTGAAACCACATTATGCAATTTGTACATTTAAATCAGTGATTTCTTGGCGTACCGCAAGGGGGCGCCCGCCTCCCACTGATGGTTCTCTTAGCACACGTTA